TAAAGGGAGTTATCGATTGATGGGGTGGTTGTTGTGAATGACTTAGTTAATTTGGATAAGAAAGCCAATAAAGTGTATCTTATTTTAAGGTATGTTTTGAGAAATCGTACAATTTAATTAGTTGGAGTTTCTCTAGATTATATACTTTTTAGGTTTAAGTTTAATGATAAGTGGGATTCTTAGATACATGTCTGTGTTTTGTAAGAATCTCGATATGTTAGTGAATGAATGCTTGACTTAAGAGATTAGTATATAAAGGGGCCAAAATAAAGTAAAATCATTTATCTTTGTTTCTTTTTCTTCTTGTGGTGGAAGGGCTCAATGATTTGTTTTGTAGTGTTATGGATTTGAGTATCTTTTCTGGCTTCACAATAAGATTCTTTGTTTTGGTGATTTCACATGTTTTATATGTGTAAGATAAGTGTATCTTGGTTAATATCTCATTTGATAATCTTTGTTTGGTTAAAGCTACTCTCTAGGTATTTGCGCTTGCCACATGGTTCCGTGTTAACTTTGTTTGAAAATAATATCTAGATATATCTGTAACTAGGTCTTGTACTTTTCCTGGAAGACTTGAAAATCATACTTTGTGTCTAAGACAATAGCAGTTTAAGAGTCTTTGACTTAATTTTTGAGGTTGAGTTTTCTTGAAGGAATGTGTTTATGTGGATGGTGATTTATTGGTGCTCGGTTCTAGTATGTCTTTCTTATAGTGGTGTAGTGCTTGTATTGTGAGTTTTACTCCATTAGTGGTTGAGTGATATGTGATTTTTTTCTTTTAATTATGAGATTGTGTTTTCTCTTTTTGTGATTATTGTTGATTTTCTCCATTAAAAAATTACTTTATCATAATTTTTGAAATGCATGTTCATTACTTTAGATACCAAAATATTATTAGACAACCGAAATAGCACTTCTTAAAATATAGTTATTTTGGAGTAACTTTTATCATTCAATAGATATAATTTTTCCTACTAAACATATACTTCCTTTGTCGTATTTATAAACCACCATTTTTCTAATTTTTCAAAGTTAAATATTAGAAATATTAAGAATGGACCAGTGAATAAAAAACATGCTTCTTTACCATTATACTAATTAACTTATATTAAATATTAATTTGAACAAATGATATTTATATATTTATTTCAAATTTATATTTTTTTAAAAAATAATTTTAAGACTTCTATTTTTTTGGAGGCCGTGGCCCAGACTCAAAGTCGGCCTAATTAGTAAATGTCAACTAATTTATACATATGTAATATTTTGTTCCAAAACTATTCATGCATTAAAAACATAATAAATATTAGAAGCATGTGTTCTCTTCTCTCTCTTAGTTTTTCAACTGTCTTTCATCGATCTTGCCTGGTTCTGTCTGGTTTTTCACGGTGAAGATGGATTAGAAGGACGTTAATAGGAAGGGGTTCAGAAATATTGTTGCTCGTTGGGATGTATTTCCGTTGGGGAGAGGGGAAAACAGCGAAGGTGATTTGAAGCTTTCCTCCATCTTTTTTTCCAAGATTCCAGATTGGATTAGATCATCTGACATCTCCGATCTTTTGGTTGTGTGGGTGAGGTGGTGATTCCATCTAAAAGAAATAAGTTGGGAATGAGGTATGGATTTTCCAGATTCAAAGAGGTGGAAGACATTAGGGTTTTAGCAATCAAGTTAGATAACATTCTTATAGATGGGAGAAAAATTCATGCTAACCCTCCTAGGTTCAGCAGAAGTGGGGGAACCAACTGCCTAAAGAAGAGAGGAAGGAAGTCTGGAGGCTTTCATTCTGTTCCAAAGGTCGTTTCGGAAAATAGTGCAAGAGTTTTCAGGGGAGTGGTGGGTTCTAAATCTTATGCGGAGGCGACAACAAACAACTGTACGAAAGTCCTTCATGAGGCGAATCCTGATTTTGCCTATTCTTCCAAGAAGATTCATAAGGAGAGGTTGAAAAAGGCATATATCAGGGAGGTTTGAAATCCAGGAATGTCATATAATTTGCAGACTTACTTTGAAATGGAGGGATATTTCTCCGTCAAAGTTACGCCTTTAGGAGCTAATTTATGTTTGCTCGAGGAGACGGAAGAGGGTGAAATTTGTGATCTGGTAGGCGGAGCCGAAACATGGTGGAAATAATGGTTTCTGAATATTAGAGCTTAAAGGAAGAAGGACGTAGACAATGAAGAGTTACTTGGATGTGATTTTATGGTGTGCCGTGTCACGCTGGGAATATGGATTTTTTCATTGAACTTTTGAATTCTTTTAGGATTTTTGTGTGCGCCGACGAAAATACGATGAAAGGTTCTAATAAGGACATAGCTAGGTTGATGGTTAAAGTTCATTTTTCCTTTATCCTAAAGGAGTTTGTGAAGTTGATGATCGATGAGGTCTCTTTCAATATCTTGATGAGGGAGGATATGTATGGTCCGCTATATCTTTCTCCTGTTCGTTCTAAAGTTGTGACGATTGAGTCCGATGACACGAGTTCTGAGGAGGAGGAGGAGTATCATGCTTCCAACAATGGTGACGAGGATGATGGTGGGATTTATGACGAGTTAGGAAAAGAGGAGGAATCTTCGGTAGCGAAGGATGTAGGTTTCAAGGGTAAGGGTTCTGGTGGAAAGTTGTATTGTCCGGAAGATAAACTGAATAATGTTAAAGTGTTTTTTGATGTTGACAAGTCGAGGGAAGTTGAAAAGGTAGCGGAGGTAGGCTTGTTTGATGTTTCTTTAGGAGCAGTAAAAGAGAAGACACGTCCTTTTGTTAGCAGTGGAAAGAATGTGGTGGTAAGGTCTCTTTCTTCTAATCCGGATGAGACAAAAGTTGCTTGCTCTCTAGAATCCCTGGCTATTAAATCGGGTGGTGATCACGTAGGTAGTAAGAATAATTCTCAACCTTTTTTTATTGGCAGTAATTTAGCGGTTAGAAAAAAGACTAAAAAAGATTGAAGTACACAATTTTTTTGGAGTTAGGTGGGCTTAATAAATTTCATAACAGAAGGCCCAATAAATTTCATAACAGAAGGCCCAGGAAGAAACAATCCAAAGGTGGAAAATTAATCCATATTGACCCAGATCCATTGGGGGGTTCGGGGAGGAATGTTAGTTCTTCTCAATTTGTTCCTAATAGTTCAAAATATTGTGCAAGTCATACTGGGAACTATGTGTATGGTGAACAATCTGGTGAATCATACATTGTTAGATGCAACCTTCGCCTTTGGGAGAATCTCGACTCGAATATGGGAAGGAAGTTATGGAAGGTTATTTCGAGTTTAGGGTTTGTGACGGGGGACTCCAAGAGAAATTACAAAAGCACATTAGATGAGTTGGAAAAAGAGGATAAAATCAGAAAGTTGGGTGGAAAGGTGAATCAAAACTTGTACCAATGATTGTGGAATCTTTGAACATTAGAGGGGAGTGGTAGTATAGTCAATAGAAGAAGGATCTCTCATATCATCAACAAGGTAAATGCTGACATGTTTTTGATTCAGGAATCTAAAATACCTTAATTGTCTGATTTTATTGCAAGGAGTTTCTAGGGAAAGATAAAGGTTGATTATTCTTTTTTTTTTGTTCGGGTGGCTTATCGGGAGAAATTCCTTGTTCCAAGTGTAATTTTTGCGTGTTTTGTAAAGAACGGTAATTTTACATGTTGTAGTTTTAATTGGTCTGAGTTTTCTGTCCGTTCTTTTGTAAGCGAGTTTGAGTACTCCTAGTACTCAATTTCAATATATTTCTTGCTTATAAAAATAAATCACTTAAAATTCTTAAAATTGGAAGGATATGACAATTTAACTATGAACATATTAGTAATTACACCTTCTTGATTACTATTATAAATAATTTTTTTTTTTTTTTATATATTTAACAATTAATATAGATGGTTTATATATAATTTTCAAATTAACATGTGTCTTAAAAGTATAAGTTGATAAATTATATGTAAATATATATTTTTTAAATATGGGTATTCAATTCTTTAAAATTTTAAATATTATTTTATTTGATTTGAACTTTTTTTATTTTATTATCTTTAACTTGTGCTATCAAGAGACAAGTTAGCAAAATTCTTAATCATTTTATATAGAATTTAAAAAATAATAAATTTATTTAAATATTATTTTTAATAATTAAGATGGGAGGGAGAGCTTGTAATATATATATATATATATATATATATATATATATATATATATATATATATATATATATATATATATATATATATATATATATATATATATATATATATATATATATATATATATATATATATATATATATATATATATATATATATATATATATATATATATATATATATATATATATATATATATATATATATATATATATATATATATATATATATATATATATATATATATATATATATATATATATATATATATATATATATATAGGAAGGAGTACTACTAACAACTTTTTTAACGTTGCTAGCATAATAAGTATAAATATCCAAAAATACTTCAAAATATATTTTCTTCGGAGAAGATGCGAAAAATTAGTGTTTAAAAGTCATCAATCTCATAGTTTTAGAGATTCATTTCCTATAGAGTAATTTAATGACAAAACTTTATTATTATTATCCCATTCTTAAATATAAGACTCCAATAAATAAGTTACGAAAATTAAGAAATTTTATTAGAGTAATAAATTTATTGACTATTTTATATAATTTTATAAATTTATTTTTAGAAGCGATTAATGTGTGTATAATTGTATTTATTATAAATTACAAAAGTATAATATAATATAAATAGGAGTATGTGCGGAAAAATAATAATTAATATATTTTAAAAGTTAAAAATGGTCTTATAAAAAAGGACATGATAAAATCTCAAGAAAAACTTATAGTCAGTGACAGAATATTATTTATGTATTATTGAATGCTAGCTGGTAGGAAAAAGTAAATATAATTGAAAAAAGAAAATTATTATTATTATTAAAACAACAAGAAAATAGCAATATAAGGAGTATTATGCTTACCCAATCATTGCATTAATGAAAAGCCATAACCAAACTCTCCAATTGAACTTCTTTACTAGTCCTCTGCAACCACAGGTAATCTCCATAATTATTCTTAATTAATATTTTGTATTATCCACTTAATTAATAGAAGTGTAAGAATATTCAATTATAACAGTTAAATGTCACATCTTACTTATTCATTTTTAGAAAGATAATCAGTTTATATATTTGATAATCATTTTATCTCACATATTAAAATCTCAAAAGTTATAAGGGTTATTTAATTAATGTTTCTTCACCCTATTTCAATAAATTAGATAGAAATAGTTGCACCCTCAAGGAGTATTAATTGAAAGCAGGGAGTATACACAAACGGTCAATGAATTTGTTTGCATGTTAAAATCAAATATATGTGTGGGGCCAACTCACCGCTTGAGTCCTTTATTAAAATCATATATATTAATGTGAACTCATAGATATGTATTTTATTATTAAGGTGAACTCATTCCCATTTTTTTGACTAGATTCAGAATCTTATAGTTTTCCTTAACTTAGCTGACAGAATATTTTGACTTGTATCTTGAATCTTAAATATGTTTGTACGAACTTTTAAATCAAATATGTTTATATTTTTTAAGATTTTCTATAAACTTTTGAACAGCTATTCAAAAAATCTTACAAAATAGTAATTTTTCATTAACAATAAATTAAAGGGAAAATTAATAAGAAATAAAAACATGTAAGACTCTTAAAATAATTACAAAACATCAAATACTATAATATTATCAATTAATTAATTAACTATACATATGTTTTAAAGTGTCGCAGTCACGGTAAGACGTTTGTGTCGCAATACTATTTATAATTGTTACAGTGTGAATTAATTATGATTTATTATTTAACATATAAATCAGTGATAACGATATTGATATTGATATTTGTTATATTATTTTATCGTGGTCGTTTTTTCAGTTGCAAATATTTTTTAAAATCTTGACTATATACATGCTAGGTTGTAAAGGGATTTAGAAAATTGAGATAAAAAACATAAACAAAGAATACCATAACAAAAGTTCAGGAGAAAGAGTTCTACTACTAGAAATTAAAACAAGTATAGAGCGATTAATATTGATAAATATGTAAACATAAAAAATAAATACCTTTCAAGATAGAGTGCAAATGGTGCAACGCAAATAGCAGCTACAATATAGCGATAAGTAGTAATTGCAAAAATATAACTTCCTTGAACCAAAATGATCCTGGACAAAAGTTGCATTCCAGTTGCAAAAACTTGCACTAAGAGCATGCTTAGAAAAGCTTGAGAAGACATGAACCACTTTTTCACACTTTCCATTCTCTCAGTGTCTCTCATATTTCTCATTTATGTTTAGTAATAGAAAGTAGAGAATAATATCCAAACTGAGAATGTTAAGAGAGTGAGAAAAACTAAATGTGTTGTGTTCAACTCAAGAGGTTGTACGTTGGCTTGGTATTTTAATTGTTTTTTAGTATGAAAAAGATAAAAGTCATTAATTAGTAGAAATAAATGCTGGAAAATAAATTGAAAAATTAATCTTGTAAAAGAAAAGTTAGTCTAAAAAAGAATTTAATCTAAAATTTTAATTAAATATAATATCCAATAATTTTAATTTTTTTGTCACCCTAACATGTTACTTATATATATGTAAAACATATTTACTTCTTATATCCTAAGACAACTGATTTAGTTGATCAGTTTGTAATCTTGTCAATTGTATAATGGTTGACATTTTTTCAAAATCAGTTCTTACTATTTTTAAATAACAAAATAAATTTTAGACTAATAAAAAATTAAGATCAAATATGATACTGTATTACAACTTACTAATAAATAATAAGGTCTTTCTTAGGATTGAATTCATATGAGCCGATATTTCCTTTAATTAAAAATAACTGTGATAAGTTTATTGATTCAATTAACTTATTATTTTTTCTCAATTAAAAAAAATAAAACCTCAACTAATTTTTCAGGATATTAATTTTTTATAATATATGACAAGATAACTTATTCAAATGTATCCAAATGTTTTAAAGATGAAAAAAAGCTAACATGTGTTTTAGAGCACATATTAATAAATTATTTATAGAAATATTTTCTTAAAATATATATTTAATATTTTGAAATATTAGATATAATTTTATTATATTTAATTATATTCAAATTTTTATAATTATAATATCGTTAATATATACAGATAAAATGACCGTTTTAAATATTGGTAACCAGCATTTAATATTCCACCTTATTATAATAGCTTTAAATATTACCATATGATCACTTATTAGTATTTGTCTGTAAGATTCATTATTCATATTGTTGAGTTGATATTTAGGATATTTCGGGAAGGCAATTGTTATTTATTACCATTCTAATTAAGTGTTAATGCATTTTAGATAAGAACAATATTTATCATTTAAAAAAACTTCTAATCAAAAAGTTTAAACGTGAAGAAACCAAATTAAAGAAAGATAATAATGGAGAGTAAAAAACAAAACAAAATAATAATAATGGAAACAAGTGTTATATTTGCTTCTTAAACCAATATTAGTTCATGTAGCCAAAATAAGTAATGTGATTATTATAAAATAATAATAGAAGTTAGGCTTAATAAAACTTTTCTTTTTATATTCTTCTTATTATTTTGCCGATTCAAGCTAAAACATATATCAAAATGATAATAAATTTTACAAAACCCAGGTAGAGAATAAATATACATGAGATAATATTTTTCTTAAGTCTAGAATATGTCTCTTGCGTGATGCGATTGCGTTTCTAAAATTTATTTTTATTAAAAACATTAAAAATGTTTCTTGCGTATATGGTATTTTATAAGATTGATAAAACATACATTCAATAATACTTTTATCAAATGTTGCACTGTTTCGCCTATAGTAACAATTTTACCAATTGTTATACTGTTTTGCCTACAACAACAGTTTTATCAATTGTTTGTACTGTTTCGCCTACAACAACAGTTTTATCAAATATTGTATTGTTCTGTCTATAACAACACTTCACGAAGCGTTGTCTTTTTTTTCTTCTAAATTCAAAAAACAACTTCACTAGAATATTTTTCTTGTCATTTTAAAACACACTCATGATTATTAATTATTATTAATAATTTACAACAATCTTCCACTTATTCTAATAATGACAAATCAAATTCCAGAATATAGAAAACAAAATAATGTTAATACAGTTAAGTATCTTTTGATTTGAACTTAACCTTAGTAAAGATAACACAAAGCCTAATCAAAACGTTAGATAGTTGTGCTTTGAAATGTTATCCCATGTGATTAGACCGACATTACCATACATACACTCTTTAATGACTCTTCGCCTACATCTCTCGCCTAACACTATTTAAGGCCTTGTATTTTTTTCTATTTTTCATGAATTCTTCATGAGAGAAACTTCAACTCTCACTTTGAGATAACACCATCTCGAAATTCATATATGTGAAGTTCAATTTGTATATATTTCTTGAGATACATCTCCTAGATATAAAACTTCATTAAGAGTTTGAAAAACGCAACCCTCAATATGTAATAGTCAACATTGTCACATAATGTTGCACAAACATCCTAATCAACAACTTGTTATTATCCATTGAATCTTAGGTTAAGGTTTGTTAATTTCATGTTGGATTATTATCATTGTCAAAACCCTTATTCAAAGAGTTTCACTCTCATACCTCTTGAGGTAGTCTTTACTAAGTCTCTGGCAAGTGACTTAGTAAACAAATCAGCTAAATTATAGCTTGTTTGTATATAAACAAAATGATTTTATCCTCTAAGACCAATGTGTCTAGACTTTTCATTATACACTATGTTGAATGCTCTAGCTAAATTGATTTTATTATCACAATGTATTAACACTTTTGAAATATTGTCCTTAGCTAACGGAACCTATAATAGAAGGTCCCTTAACCATTCTGCTTCTTTTCCAGCGAACGCAAGTGCCACAAACTCTGATTCCATGGTTGAGAGAGTAATGCATGTTTTTTTTCTTGATCTTCCAAGAAAGCACACATCCAGTTAATGTAAATATTTATTAAGTTGTACATTTTTAATCTCCAACACTCGATATCCAACTTGCATCGGTATATCCTTCTAGTATGGAAGGAAACCTACCATAATGAATGACAAGATTTTTGGTCTTTAAAAGATAACCAAAAATCCTAGTTATGACCTTCTAATGTTCATCATTTGGATTGCTAGTAAATCTACTCAGTTACTAACTGCAAATGTTATGCCGAGTCTAGTACATCACATCAATTACTTTAGACAATCAGTTGCACTTGCATATTTCAATTGAGTTACAACTCTTTCTACCATTCTTTGAATTTTCACACTAGGATCAAATGGAGTGGTTACTTCCTTAAACCGTAAGTGTTTGACTAAGTTTATAATCCCCACTATTTCACTTTACTTTTATCTCTTAAATTGTGTCAACTAATCCAAGATCTTTCATCTTGAATGTGGAAGTTAAAAACCTCTTTGTTTCTAAAATTTCATTCATCTTATTGGTGATGATCAACATGTAATTAACATAGAGACAAAGGAATATCACTATGTTCTCACACAAATTTGAGTACAAACACTTGTCCTAAGAATTAGATGAAGAATGATTTTAGATAATCATGTATGATGATGTAAGAAGATTTTAGATGAAGTGAAAGATAAAATTATGAGCAATTTAAAATAGTATAATATAAATTTCAATGAGTACCTTAGTTATTTTCACTTCTCTCAAACCTTCACTTGAACTTCTAAACTAAACCTTCTTGATCAACTTTATCATTGATGTGCATGACACTTTTGATCCTTTTCTTCTTTGATAATTTTTGTCTTCATCAAAGTATATATATATATATATATATATATATATATATATATATATATATATATATATATATATATATATATATATATATATATATATATATATATATATATATATATATATATATATATATATATATATATATATATATATATATATATATATATATATATATATATATATATATATATATATATATATATATATATATATATATATATATATATATATATAATTTATTCTTCATAATCTCCCCCTTTTGATGATGAAAAACTCTTTGAATTCTTATTTTGATAAGATTGAAAGGTCTCTCTCTAAGTTGTGTGTCTTTCCTTAATTGGTGAATCTTGCAATGACAGAGTCAAACTTTTGATGTCATTGTTTCGGTACTTGTTTAAATCCTTGTATATATTTGACAAGCTTCTACACCTTTTGTTCATTATCAAAAAACACATAACCTTATGGTTTCTCCATATAAATCTCCTCATCGATATCTCTATTTAGGGATGTTGTTTTAACATCCATTTGATGAACTATAAGTTCATACAAGAAAGCTAATGCAAACGAAACTCTAATTTTTCGTTGTGCTTGCTACTAATGCATATGTGTCGAAATAATAAACACCTTCCTTTTGCCTAAAACCTTTGATTACTAATATATCCTTCCTTATGAGGTTTTTTATTTGTGGGAATCTTGAATTTCTTATCCTTTGTGATAAGGTTCTCAACATTCCACATCTCAGGATTTAATAATTTCATTAGACCCTGAATTCAAAAATGTATATGCTTTAATGTTAGGTGAGTAGCTTACAAAAGCACATTTGATCCCTCAAAGACTCAACTTAGTCCTTTTCTTTCTTTCAGATAGACATTTTTTTTATGGTATACGAGGTGCAGAACTTTCATGCATAATGCTATATTCTTCACAATATACATTAAAATCAATAGAGAAAATGTTCTTTAACCCTATCACTCATAAAAACTTTAATACTTCTACTTAATTTTTTTTTATAATTCCACTTTAAAATTATAATGTGCCACACACTCAATTACAATTCTTTTAAAATAAATCGAAGGCAAAATTGCCATTATCGGATCTTCTATAAGAATTAAAATTTTAACTCAGTTTTGCAGTAGAAAATTTAAGGAATTTAAATCTTTTCATATCACAATATTCATGATTCATATTTATATTGTTTCGACTTAATGCTACTAATGCATATTTTTAATTATTTTTCTCAAAAAAAATTTTAAAAATTAATTTCAAAATAATTATCAAAGTAACCAATTTTTAAACAAAAAAAATTTGTCACACAAAGGAGGAGCCACTCTGTGTGGCATGCATGCAAAATTAGAAGGAGGCGCCACACTACATGGCTTGTCATTCTATGTAGTGTCATGTAGTGTGGCGCATACATGTAACTTATGTGAGTACAACTTTCATCATTAGATGTTTTATATGATGTCAAA